GATACTGAATAAATTAAGGAATATCCATAAAGTTAATGCTGTTGAGCTTGTAAATGTTATCCAGCAAAAGCTGTAGGATTGTGTACTGGCTGGACATCCTGGAAATAAATATTTATAACTATTCAATATTATATAACAAGATATATTGTTTTAAACTTTCTTTTCAATATTAATTATTTGATTATTATAAACAAGCTAACATTTAACTTATTGTATTAATATATAAAAAATATTGTTTTTTTTATAATATATATTTTATTATATAACCTGTGGGTCTATAGTGTAGTGGTTAACACTTCACAGATCAAATCACAAGATATCAGTTCAATTCCATATGAAGGCAGTTGAATAGAATTAATATGGTATCTGGCGCCATAACCTGTAAAAGTGCTGTTTCTTATAAGAAGCCATTTCACATGCTGATCCAATAGGCATTGAGATTGTGATTTCCAGAAAAGATGTTGTGGCATAATGATCATCCAGTTGGTGTTACGATAATCGCCAGAAGTTGCAAGGTGTATGAGGTGTCTGCTTTTGACAAGTAGATTTGGTGATTCCTTTCCCAATATCCAGTGTTTTTCATGTAAATCCCTGCCCTAGTATCATTCCAATCCAGTAATAAACTGGTCTGGTGATACTTATCCCAAGAAGGCTTCTGGATATAAGTCTTGTTCCCTGCAATATATGAATACCTAATTACATAAAGGCACAGCAGCCAATCTATATAGATTGGCTTCCAAGTCATGATTAGGATTGGCACACCGGCTTTCCAAATATGGCTTGATATATGGCAAATGAAGTATTGTTAGAGGTGGTAAAAAATAAATACCTTTTGTATAAAAGCACTGCAACCACTTTATACAGGTTTGTTTCCAAGTCACAAAAAGAATTTGGTATACCTATGCTTCAAGTATAACAGAAGTGTTCTATAGGTGGAGTTCTTATTGGTTTTTTTAATAGTATTGGAATCTAATCTTATACAATAGATTTATATTATTTGAGAAGTAAGCAAGAAACTTCTATTATTGTTATCAGCTTATTTTCAGGGGTAACTAGAATCTCTGGTCATCACATATTACTCTACTAAGTTTCTTAATTACTAATATAATACCTGTAACTAATCTAACTTATTGCTAATTGTATTGGTATTGGCTGCCATTTCACTTTGAATATTGTAGAGCACAAATTTTTGAATACTTTTGGATAATAATAGTTGTACAGAAGTTTCTTGAACATATTTAATTTAACTACTAATCAATAAATAACATTGAGTTTGATAATAATAATCATATTGATCTTTTGAAGGAGATAAATCATCCATTCTTTTTCTAAGGAACTATGAAAAAAAGAAAATTTCTTGAAGTCCACATCTTAAGAAAAGTTATTATTTCTTAATACAGTTCTTGAGAGAAGAGAGTCAACTAGTCAGAGAAGTGATATTATAGAGACAGAGTTTTCAAAAAAAAAAGAAAAGCCTAGGGAGAAAAATCTTTAGGAAAAAAGGAAAAAACTAGCATTGGCAGGAAAAAAAAAGAAAAGAATATAAGATAAAAAAAAGTATATAAAGAGAGAAAAAAAGATAAAAGAAAGGAAATAAAGAGATATAGGAAGAAAAGTATAAGGAAAGAGTGAAGGAAAGGACAAAGAAAAAAGTAAACAACTCAAAAATTTTCTAAAAAGGAAATTTCCAAGTATAGAAGGGAGAGTAGAAAAGAGTTTTTTTTTTTTTTAATATTGTTTTTTTTATTTTTATTTTTATTTATTTATTTTTTTTTTGAAAAGAGCAAATGGCTATTATACTTTATTATATTTATTATACTTTCACTTACAAGGTAAGATACAATAATCAATAGCACGATATACATCTCTTTTTGCTAGAAAAAGTTTAACGCAAGGCTCCCACATGGGGTCAGACCCCTGTGCTCTTTTAGCACTATCCAAGGAATATAGACAAAAGGAAGTTCAAAAATCTATATCTAATTATGAATAGTGTCCAGCTACCTGGAATTAAATGAATACCTAATCACATGAAGGTGCTGCAGCCAATCTATACAGATTGGCCTCCAAGTTTTAATTAGGATTTGCACGCCTGCTTTCCAAAAATGACTTGATGTATAGCAAATAAAATGGTATTGGAAGTGATAGAAAATGAGTATCTTTTTGCATGAAAACGCTGCAGCCACTTTATACAGGTTTGCCTTCAAGTCACAAAAAGGATTTGACACATTCATGCTTCAAGTGTGGCAGAAGTGTTTTATGGGTGGAGTTCTTATTGGTTTTCTTAATGGCATCGGAACCTAACCTTATACAATAGACCTATATTGTTTGAGGGGTAAGCGAGAAACTTCTGTTATCGGCACCAGCTTGTGTTGCGGGGATAACTAGAATCTCTGGTCATCACGTATTACCCTATTAAGTTCTCCAATCACTAGCATGACACCTGCAACTAATCTAGCTTATTGCTAGCTGCATTGGCATTAGCTGTCATTTTATTCTGGATACTGTGGGGCGCAACTCCTTGGGTACTTTTGGATAATAATAGTTGTACAGAGGTTTCTTGGGTGTATCTAGTCTAACCGCTAATCGATAAACAGCACCGGGTTTGATAATAATAGCCATGTCGATCTTTTGGAGGAAGTAAGCCATCCGTCCTTTTTCTAAGGAGCCATGGAAGAGAGAAAAATTCCTAAAGCCCATGTCCTAAGAAAGATTACCATTTCTTAATATGGTCCTTAAGAAAAGAGAGTCAACTGACCAAAGGAGTGATGTTATGGAGACGGAGTTTTCAAGAGAGAGAGAGGCCTAGGGAGGAAAACCTTCAGGGAAAATGGAAAAACCTAGCTTTTGCAGGGAGAAAAGAGAAAAAAGAAAAGATAAAGTAAAAGTAAAAAAAAGAGTATATAAAAGAGAGAGGAAAAGATAGGAGAAGAGAAATAAAGAGATATGGGGAAGGAGTATAGAGGAAAGGGAAAGGGGAAGACAAAGAAAGAGTAAACAACTCAAAAATTTTCTAAAAAGGAAATTTTCAAGCATAAAAAGGGGAGTGGGAAAGAGTTTTTTTTTTTATTTTTAATATTGTTTTTTTATTAATATATAGATTTTACAATATTATACAAATTTAATAAAAAAAAAATAATATTTTTTTTGGAAGATTTTTCCAATAGATAAATATTATTTCTTTATTTGATATTGTATATAACAAAGTATACATCATAAAAGAAACAACATCTCTTAAGTACATTGTATACTACAAGTTAAATGCTAGATTGCCTACTTTACAATATCTAACTAATATTGTAAAAAAATTTAAAATTAATATTAATATGCTAAATAAGGCTGAGTAGTGACTATACTTATTATTCCAAGAAATTTTGCAAATTCTTTTGATTTTTTAAATATAAAAAATTGAAAGAAAAAATAAAAGTAACCATAACTAAAACTATATTAGATAAATTATAATCTATAGGTAGAAAACTACTATTTCTCCAAGGAAGCCCCAGACAGGCTTATTGTTTCATCTCTCTGGCTTTTTGGTTACCATAGATAATGAAGTATACGTGATGTTATTTGTTATTATAGTTGTTGGTAGTGGGTTAGTTGTTGTTATTGTAATCATTATTGTGATACAAAACCAGTTTAAGCTTGTTTGGGTTTTGTTTTGATCTTTAAATAAAATCTGATTTGTTAATTAAAAAGCGCCAATCATCTTGAGAGATAAACTGATTTCAGTTTTTTGGGAGAAAATTTTTTGAGAATTGAAAGAGGTATAGCAAATATTGCTACAAGAATATTGTGTGTATAGATTGACTTAAAACAAACAGTAGATTCACTAACTCTATTTGTAAATGTGTTTTGGAAAGTGTTTGGTTTAGTGAGTATAATGGTAATGATATATATGATTTTTATAATATAATAAGATAAGAAGGAGTATAAAAGAACTGAAGAAAAAAGAACTGCCACAGGTCTTTTCTCATACAGCCAAAGAATAAGCAAGACTCCCAAACTTGAATAGACTTCAACCAGAGGTTCCATCCTACTACACCAGTTGTCTTGAAGGTTCTTGAGTTCCTGAGCTGAAGCTCACTTGTGATAAAGAGAGTAAAACATTTTTTCTTGCTTAAAATTACCATTAAAAAAATTTTTTTAACAAAACAAATGTGATCAGGAAAGAGTTTTTTTTTAAAAAAATATTATTTATTTATCAATAATAATAATAATAATAATAATAATAAATTATCGTTTTTGATTTACTAAATAAAAATTTGTTTTTTATATCATTGTATTTTTTTATAAATAAAAAAATTTTAAGTTAAAAATTATTACTTTATTTTATTAATCATCAATCACATGATCCACCGGTACCCAATTTGGGTTATGGTTATAGGGTAATAGATTTTTATTATACGATATTAGCTTTAACTTTATCTAAACACTATAAAGATATATCTGTCAAACAGGATATGAATGTTATTTATCTATTGAATTTGGTTCGAAAAACATGAATAATAATCAAGAATTTACCAGTTTGAAAAAAAAAATTCATTATCGTGTTGCATGCATGTGCATACATTAATTATCCAAGTCAATGAAAATTGTACTAAGCTTTTTAACCGAGCCACAGATACCTGATTGTGACTGATTGAACCGGAGATATTCGGGATACAATCATGATTGACACGCGATATTATAAATTAATAAAAATTCATTACTATAAGCGAGTCGCTATCCAATATTTACTATGTATTAGTGCAATTACTTTTAGCAGGTCTAATTAGTTATTAATTTTCGGGGTTTCAATTTAAGATCTCTATAATAAAAAAAAAGAAAGGAAAGAAAAAAGAAAGGAAAGTGGAATCGTTTACATTATGCATAAGGAAGTTCTGTTTATCAAGCGTATATGGTCCGATTTTCATAATAGAGTTTCACCTAAATTGAAAATTAAAAATCAATAAATTAAAAAGAGAAAATCTAGCGCAAATCAAATAGATTTTGGCAATTACCTAAACAGCATCGAACTAAAGAACAGCCAACTGTTATCGTTTCAAAAACGCTTGCTTCATCTTCAAGCCAGGGATTCACCTCCTGCAAATACATCATCAAAATCAAGGTCATATTTATTAACTTGTTATAAAACCAATAAAATATTATCAAACATTACCATTAAATCAACCGAAACAAGGAGACCAGTCTCATGTATTGCTTCACAGATATAATGACCTTCTCTAAAAGTTAAACCGCCACGAACGGGAGTACCTGTCATTGAATAGGATACGTAAATTAGAATGAATTAATTGTGCTAATTTAGCTTATTTTATTATACAAGTACCTGTGCTTGGAGCTACAGAAGGATCCAATGCATCAACATCAAAGCTAAGATGAATAGGACGATCCCGATTAGGATTTACCGCGTCAAGGGCCATTTCTACGACCCTACCAATGCCGTACTTATCAACTTCGTGCATAGAAAACGCTTTTATTCCGTATTGTTTTAAAATCTTTTTCTCTGGAGGATCAACATCTCGTAGCCCAATGTATACGAGCCTATCGGGCGTGAGTGAAGGCCTAACCCATTCAAACCCTGGTATTTTACCAGCGATATCTAACAAAAAGGATACTGGACAACCATGAAAGTTACCAGAGTCCGTTGTCTCAGGAGTATTGATATCCTTAATCCATCAAGATAGAATTAAAAACGACTATAATTCATGAAAAAACTTTTGAAGAGAGCAAACTTACTGCATGGGCATCAATCCAGATAAGGCAAGCGTTCGGGTGAACTGCCAAGGTACCAGTTACTGTTCCAAGAGCTAGACTATGATCTCCCCCTAAAGTCAGTGCCAATTGACGTTTCCTAAGATGTGATTCTACAGTTTTGGCTACGGTTTGAGTTACCCGAGAAACGTAACGAGGTCTCTTGAGCTTTCCTATACTAGGATCATCAGCCGGTCGAAGGTCTGTAAGCCTATGATGTCCTTCAAATTCTACATCCCACCCCATTTCCTGAAGTTGGTCTATTAGGCCATATTCAATGATTTTTAATGGTCCGTCATCAACTCCATCTTTAGGCTTAAAGATATTTTTATTACTTATTATTTTACGAATAGTAAAGATAAAAGTTAAATAAGAAAAATAACTGAATATACAAACCTGACCGCCGCTGAATGGACAACCGACAATTCCTACACTTTTTCCATTGACATATTTGTATGTTGCCATTTTTTGAAATTTAAGAATCAAAATGTTCGCACATGCCTATTTATCTGTTTTATCTGTGTAAATCTTTTTTTTTTTTTCGTTGTCTCCTGAATGCAAGACCAGTTGACCAGTTAAGTTCGGTTCCCACGCTCTAGTGATTAATTGATACTGAATAGCATACATTGTCTATCGGACGCCACATCCCGTATTTTTTTTAAATACTAAATCAAGGGGCGAGAAAATGATCGCATGCACGGTTTCACCTGAATCTTGTGAAACGTCATGTGGCGGAACAATACATGTATGGGTAATATTATAATTAATACAATTTCTCATTTATCTATTTACGTCACCTGCCACATACGTGCAATACCGCATGTCTATATGTGCATGCATCGTTCTTTCCTATTTAGAAATAGTCGAACGTGTCATGTATGCACATTCGCGAATAAAAAACAAAAACCGTTTAGCTAGTATGAATTTGTCACAGACATATACTGAGAATCAACTTTTTTTTTTGGAATCCACAATAATCTACTTTATTTGGAATTTATAATCGTGCCGCTTTTGTTAAAACGAGTTTTTCTAATTATATTAATATATATCTTGAATATAATATATAAATATGACAATATGATAATTATAATTGAAATAAATAAAATATTGATTTTAAAACATTAAAAAAGAAATATTAATTTTTTCAAAAAATATTTAATAAACCATACTATCTTATATAAGATTTTTTTAAATTTTAAATTAAATAATATTGATAATTTATTATATATATGGGCCAAAGGCAGATTGGAAATTTTTTGACATGATCCTAAAATTTATATTATATATTGTTACACTTGATTTTTGCTAGCATTTACTTTTGAAATGTTGTCCATTCTAAAATAATTCTTATATTACTATTCTTGTTATTGTTTAGCATTATACTTTTTGTACTATTGTTGTTCTAGAATATTTCCTATTTTATTTAATTATTTTTATTCTTGTATCTTCGCCAGAGTATTTATTTCTATACTAATACATACAGATAACTGTTCTGATAAATATTATACTTTTTTTATATTTTTATTATCTCTTATAATACATAGTTATCATATACAAAAATATTATATCTAAAATATGTATATAAAGGCACCAATTTCACCTAGGAATTAACAGATTTGAATTTTATTTCATCAAATAAATAATTTGACCTTTACAAAACAAATTACTATTGTCTTTTTCATATGACCTCATACATCTTAGAATTGTACTAATTTATATGCCTCTAGGAACTTTAGCATATCACATTGGCCCTGTCCATCTAAAGTGCCTCCCTGCTACTAGTTCTCTGTCTTTATCTTTCTCTTAAGATAGAAATACTATATGACAAATTGATAATGACTGTGAGATACCGTTCATCTATCTTGAAAAAAAACTGTAAAGAAACAAATTTTAAAGAAGACTGTATAAAAACTTTATTTAGTATTAAAGATATTTACAATAAGAGAAAGCTTGTAATTTGGAATCCAAAATTTAACAAAAAGAATATCAGTAGTAAAAAGATTTATAATAAATTATTAAACATTTGTGAGCATTAACTACTTGCATGATTAATTGTACTTAAACAATCCAAAACTAACTAAAAAAACTCTTTAGCAAAGACTACCAGACAAATCTTATACTTTTTGCTTTCTTCCTATCAGAAATTATAATATTCTTTTTAATTATTTTTGGAATTGATTTTATATCATTTTTTCTGCTATCCAATATTTGTTTAGAACCTATCATTACTTTGTTTAACAAACTGTTAGTTTCTTCTCTTATATCAATACAGTAGAATAACTAATTTTATTTATTAGATACTTTGAACCTGTTTACTTAAATAGGATTATTAAAGAAACCTTTCAAGTATTTAACATTTATTATAATTTTGTTTTTGATCCTGCAGATATAGAAATAATTAAACTTTTCTCTTCCCTTAATATTTCTTTTATTACCCAATCAATTGAGAACTATTTATTTGAAGATATAAGTTTTAACTTGTCTGAACATATTTTAAATACTTCTATTATCATTCTTGACAATTCCTTATTAATTATTTATTCAATAACAAAGATTTAAATTTAGATTTATTATTTCAAGAACCTATTAATACAAACATCATGACAACTGCTCAATCTGTATCTAATTACTTAAAGACTAACAACAATACTCAAGTCCTTTGAGTAGAATCATTCTTTAGAGATGAAACTCAAAATCCTTTAACCTGATTTTCTGCTTTTATTAAAGCAAGTTAAGTAAACGGATGAAAACAAATGAAAAAGATACAAATGCTAGCTGTCTATCTCCAGAATAAAGCTAAAGATTGGTGGATTGAATATGTTACCACCAATGAAACTGATTATACTAAAAATCTCTACAGACCAGCAGATATCGAAAAAGTATTCAAAAACAAGTTTTGTACTCAACATTGGCAAAACTAATAGCTTAAAGACCTAGAAGGAAAAAGACAAGGCCATTTTAAATCTATGGATTCCTATTATACAGATTTCAAGAAACTTATTAAATGAGTAGATCTTGAAGAAAACATGTTAGATCTCTAGAAACTTCATTATTTTCTCAGAGGATTGAAATCTGAAGTTGCCTCTCTTGTAGTCATAAGTGCACCTGCAAATGTTGGTGCAGCATTGTAATTTGCTTAACAATATGAAAATAGTCAAGACCTTATTAATTATGAACAACCTATTAAAGCTAAATCAGAAAAGACTTTTGGATTTAGAAACAAAGAAGCTTCTTGAGATTCTATAGATAACCTTGTCTAAAAGTTTAAAAAGATATATCTAAAGCTTGTAGCTCAAATTGAAAATATTTCTGCCAAAGTTAAAAGAAAGAACAAGCCATATTACAAGTCTGATACTTCTAAGTCGTCATTAGTATACACACCACAAAGATATATAAGAACTTGTTTTAAGTATAGCCAAGTAGAACTAGGGCTTCAAAAAAGTACCAAACTGGTATTAAACTAGTATCAAAATGATATTAATCTATAGTAAATTTAATATATGGGTTGTGACCTACTCATATGTTTTTATAGTAAATTTAAGTATTAAATTAGTATCGAAGTAATATTGAAGTAGTATCTTTAGGAGCTCTAAGTAGAATACATTGCTTATAATTGCTTATTTGAAAAATCAATGCCTTCTGTTAGCAATAGAATCGGGTATAGGGACGGGATCAGTGTGGATCATGTGACATGGCGCGATGCATCAGTTTATACATCAATGTGGAGAGAAAAGTTTAGGAAGTTTGTTGAAGTTTTGCATGACGCAACGTTAGATTGGTGGATGCATCATAGCTAATATAAATAAAAATAGGATTAGAGTAGTAATAGAGAGAGTCAATTGCAATATAATTGTATAACCAAATCTGTATTTGTGCAATGATAATTATTAAACTTTCTTATTGAGATACTTGTCACCTAAAGAATCCAGTGGTAGTCAATATTAAGTCTATTGGTAAAGGATTGTGCCAGAGGAACAAGTGGGAAGGAGGAAAGTTAAAATTGTCATGCCAACAAGTACCTTTGGTATTGCAAGTGACATAACCCCTATGTACCAGCAAACGGCAAGCTTAGTTCCAGAGTGGTGAAAGACTTGTTGGTACAGTTAACACTTCTCAGCAATATAAACAACAAAACTGATATATTAAGAAAAATTAATATATAAACTATCTTACAATCAAAGATATTTTTAATAAAAAATCATCCAATGAAGAAGAAGAACTTGTATATGTGGGACAAAAAGCTAGACCTCAACCCTATATCATCAATCGAAAAAAACAGAAAAAAAAGTCAAACGATTAGAATCAACCAAAGAATTTAATCTGTAATCAAAGAAGAATACTACTCAACCAATGAAAGTAGAAGATTCATTTGTTCATTATCAATCCCTTTCAATACAACCTATCTTGTCAAAGACAAAGAAGCCAAAAATAAAGTTCCAACCATCTGTGATTAATAAGCTTACACCATATGATATTTCTGAAAATATTTTCAAGTTGCAATCAAGTGCTACTGTGGGACAAATGTTTTAATACTCTAACCAATGAAAGAATCTTGTCAAGATCCTCAAGAGACCAAAGAAAACAGTTGAAACCAATTATCTTCAATCAGAAAATAACTTCAGAAAGACTTTATCAGCTAAATGCTATATCAGAATCAAAGAAAATCCTGTAATCGCTATCCTTGATTCAAGAGCTGCTGTCAGTATCATCACGAACAAACTGATACATAAATTAGGATTGTAACCAGGTACTCTATCCAAAACTATTGTAGTCACTGCTAATGGAAATAGAGTCCATGTATTGAATCAAATTACTAAAGCTTAGATTTGTATTCAAGATCTAATCATCCCGATCAAGCTTCAAGTCATAAATCTCAAGAGGAAATTCTTTTTTGGAAAATTAATTGGTTTCAAAAGATGAGAGCCAAGTGGAATTTTGATTCTCAAATCTTACAGATTTAATATCAAGACAAAACTGTTAAAATCACAACTACTCACTTTACTGATAAAACACCTTAGTACATTATGGATTCAGAAAACAGTAATAATGAACTTAAAGAAATTGAGTACTATTGTTAAGGTAAAAATAAACTATATAAATAAATGAACACAAATGAGAAAAGAATATAAATAGAAATATGATAGACCTATCAAAGTATCCAGTATTTCTAGTATATTATAGTATTTTAAGTTATCTATTAGATTACAAGTAGTAACAAGTCAGAACTCTTTTCGCTGATCCTTTTGCCAATCCAAAAAACAAACATTCTCAAAAGATTTTTTGTCTTTATAATAATAAACTCTACACACTTTCCTTAAAAACAATACTGGTTTTAACCAGCCAAGCAAGCAGAAGCCACCACTTGTTTTATTTTTCTTTTTCAAAAACTTTTCTTGCTTATTTTTGCAACTAAATACAAAAAATCCACCTAAAAGGTCTATGGCAAGAACACCTTTATAGGAAAA